CTCGCGCGAGCGCTGTGAGAGGCGCTTTCTGTGTGTGTAACGTTATGCTTCAGTGTCTGCGCTCTGAAAACCGGACCGAATTGAATTCTCTCTTGCGTCGTCAGATTTATCCATACGTCTGCTCTTCTCTTACTCCCACATATTGACATTTTTGAATGTTTTATGAGACGTGCAGCAAGTGTGTGTTAGCTTATGTCCCGCCGGTTCATATGTACGCATCTAACCTCCGAACCACACAGAAGATTCGTTCTGAGTGAATCTCTTCCTCTTTATTCGTTGACGAAAATGTCAATAGATCTTCATCATAGTTTTTGTCATTCAAAAAGAGTTTTAGTTCGTTATCGTCTCGTTGTCGTCAGTGAAAAAAATGTCGTTGACGAATAATTTTCATTAACACTGCATCAGTGTCTCAGCAATGGATGCTCTGCAGTGAATGGGTGCCGTCAGAATGAGAGTCCAAACAGCTGATAAAAACATCACAATAATCCACAGCACTCCAGTCCATCAGTTAACATCTGGAGAAGACAAAAGATGCATGTTTATAAGAAACAAATCCATCATTGAGGCATTTTAACTTTAAGCCAAAATACGAGTCCATAATAACAGAGGGAAATCTGCGCAGATCAAGCACTGTTTACAAACTAAAACAGCTCTAAACAAATATGTGGATGGATTTTGATGCGAGAGACAACGGGAGATGGACTTTTTCACTGGAGGAAGCGTTATTATGGATTATGGACTGACCAGAAGTGACGGTTTGAAGTTAAAAACGTCTTCATTATGGATTTGTTTCTTACAAACACGCAGCTTTTGTCTTCTTCAGATGTTCACTGATGGACTGGAGTGCTGTGGATTATTGTGATGTTTTTATCAGCTGTTTGGACTCTCATTCTGACGGCACCCATTCACATCCATTGCTGAGCAAGTGATGGAATGCTACATTTCTGCAAATCTGATGAAGAAAACAAGCTCATCTACATCTTGGATGGCCTGAGGGCGAGTACATTTTCAGAAAGTTAAATTTTTGGCTGAACTATTCCTTTCAGCCTCCAGCACTAGTATTAAATGTGAGTGTGTGTGTGGGCCATCCTGCAGCGTTCGTGCTCCAGTCGGGGTGTTAATGTGTTCAGTGTGTGGTGCTGAACTGAGATCAGTCTGTTGTGACGGCTGAAACCAGGAAGAGCTCGGCCTCCAGTCTTCTTCGAGGAGGTCTCAGCTTCACAAGGCATCTGTTCTGAATCTCTGACTCGATAATGCTCAGTTCTCTCCTCCGTCTGTGGGAGGCTAGAGGCTTCGGCGGGAGCCGATATCAAAAACGACTCTGCGGCGGCAGCACGAGGGAGTCTGAGGAAGCAGCTGGTTGAGGGCATGTGTATTATTAGTTGTTTTCAACCAGAGCAGAAAAAAACTGCTCGCTCCCTCTGTACTAGAGGAAATTTGTTAGGAGGTTTGTTTTACATGACTCTTAAAAATGAAGGTTCTTTATTGGCGTCTCTGGTTCCATGAAGATCCATGGAACCTTACAAGGCTCTTTAGAGTTTTTAAATGTTCTTCACACTGAAAGGTTCTTTGCAGAACCAAAAATGGTGGTTCTATGGAAACCCCCTTTTGGAACCAATTCACCCTTTCCTGGGAGTTTGATTGACAGGCGATCTGACCAATCATAATGGAGAGTAGATTAACGTTGGTGGACTTGATCTTGAAAAATGGAGTATTGATGTCTTTCCGCAGTTGAAACAAGCGGTTCATTCATGTTTATTTTGTGCTATAACTAGTAGAAGATGAGATGATCGGTTCACGTGCTGCAGCGATCTGTCACCACACATTAAAGAGCCACAAAATGCAATTTATTAAAAAAATGACCAAATTTGAAAGCTGAGACTTGTTTCATACCAAAAGTAACTTGCTCTGTTTGGTCTGTCATCAGTCTCCTCTTTTTTTGTCACTGCGTGAGAACGTGTGCCGTGAGATAGCGCTGCACGATTATATATATATATATATATTCCACGGTATTACTATGTTTTTGGAAAATGTACCATGTGTCATAGTATTACCATGTTATTTTGTATATCATGATTTTTAAAGAAGATACCATGGTATTACTGTGTTATTTGGATATGGTACCATGGTTTTACCGCGTGTAAGTATTACCATGATATTGGACAAATTACCGTGGTATTACTGTGTTTCACATGGTATCATGGTGTTATCATGTTTTGTTGTTTGTTTGGAAAAGGAACGGTCAAGACTTCGAAGATACAGCGGTAAACAATTATGGGATCGTTCTGTATCAGTGTCTACTGTATAACAAATTACTGTGGTATTACCATGGTACCACCGCGGTACTTTTGTAAGGGTTTCTGGATCAGAAATCAGGTCTGTTCTGCTTACTGAAGTAACCACATATGTGACCCTGCAGCACAAAAGCAGTGTTGAGTCGCTGGGGGATATTTGTAGCAATAGCCAACAATACATTGTATGGGTCACAATTATACATTTCTCTTTTATGACAAAAATCATTAGGATATTAAGTAAAGATCATGTTCCATGAAGATATTTTGTAAATCTCCTACCGTAAATATATCAAAACTTAATGTTTGATTAGTAATATGCATTGCTAAGAACTTCATTTGAACAACTTTAAAGATGATTTTCTCAATATTTAGATTTTTTTGCACCCTCAGATTCCAGATTTTCAAATAGTTGCATCTCAGCCGAATATTGTCTATTGCTCCAGTGCTTGTTCACCGTCTCGCTGCCTCTAACACAGTTGGATCCCGTCAGAATAAAGATTCCTCCAGCGACACGAGTCGCTCCGCTCTGGAATCTTCTGCAGCTCTCTTCATCTTTAATTCGCACGCTGTGTAAAGTTCATCCACGGTTCATCCCGCCGGCTGCAGCGGAGTTTTTTCTGTTTTCTGGCTTCTCTTTGATCTGTTTTTCTTATTCCTCCTCCTTTGTGCACTTTTCCCCTCGTTATGTGCTTGTGCAACGAGTAGAAGTATGCCAGCTATGCGTGCGGCTGGAGTCTGGCTGGGTCTGTTGCACAAATACTGGGTCAGAGGTCGAGGAAGGGTCACCGAGGACAACCAGACACTTGCGTCAGATATGATTTCTATCTGTTTATCTATCTTTATATCTAATAATGTGTCTGTGCGTGTGTTATAGGGTATATCTTTTAGTTAAAAGTATAGAATAATTTAAAAATATTAATGCATTATGCATTTCATTGAAATTTTGAATACAATTTATTAATATATAAACAATTTAAATTAATATTTGTAATAATATTATTTTTGTATTATTATTATTATTTATATCTGTCTATCTTTCTAATATATAATTATTATAAAATACATATATTCTAGATATGTATAGTTATGGTAATTGTAAAAAACAAAAACAAAAAAAAAACTAAATAAAATATGTATTTAAATACTGAATACATGTTAATTTATAAACAAAATTAATTGTGTATATATTATTGTAAAATATAATCTGTTACTATGTTGAATATGCAGTTATGCTCATTTATATGTAATATATTTGTTATTAAAATATATATATATATAATTTAAGCATAATGAAATAATTATATTTCAATACATTGATTAATATTATAATTTAAATTATTAATTTAAATGTATTATTATTATTATTGCATAATAAAATAGCTATATAGGCTGTATGATTAAAATTATAATTTAAATAATTGTTTAACTTAATTTAAATATTGGATTAAATGTATTATTTTATTTAAAATAAATCTATTTTTAAATTTATTTTAATTTTAATCTATCTATTATGTAATTATTCTATTATATATATATATATATATGTAATTAAATACGTATTATAATTAAATATAAATTATTATTATTTAAATGTTGAATCAATTCATTCATTTGTGTAATTATCTAATTTTGTAAATATTATTGTTATTTTTGTAGATGGAAACAATTATTTAGGCTACATTATGATTAATATTATAATTTAAATAATTGTTTAAATATATATATATATTTCATTCTCATGCATTAGTACAGAATTGTTGGGGAAAACATCTGAGATATATATATATATATATGTTGTTGTTTTTTTTCCCACTTTAAGCATCAAAACTAGTCTTGAGCATCTGGTGAACTAGCTGGAAGGTGTGTTCATGTGGATCAGTGAGAGCGCGACTCTGATGAAATCGTTCCGCAGTCACGCTCACTGAGACACGATCTCTGTCTGCCCGAGATAATGCACCAGAGACCAGAACTAACAGGCTTATGGGATTGAGCGTGTTTGGCCGGTCTGTGTTAAAGCTGAAATGTAGCTTTAAAGAAAAACACTGAAGGTTTGAGTCTGTCAGGACAGATGCATGTATAACTAAAGCAATAATCCACGAGTGACAGCGGCGGCAGAAGCAATACAACAAGACGTATATATGTTCCTTCAATTATTTATTAAATATTTAAGCACCATATTCGTTATCACCCAATATTATGCATAGTTTTTAAATTAATCAGCATTGATTTATATTGAAAATATAATTGTGCATAGGTTTTAGTTTTTTACCCTTTTTACATTTAGATTACCTGAGCTGTCATTTAATGCTACCTAATAAATCTTATATAGATTTAATCGTTTTTAGTCCTTTTAAATATATTTATTTGACTGCAATTGATTTTTTACCACGTTCTTGCAATGAAAATAATGCATTAATGCTCACTTAAAATTTTGTTTGCAAATCTGTCATTTCTTAAATACTTAAATATATATATATATAAATCCTAAAATGAATATTAATTTTTCTGACATTTTTTCCATTAATTTATAAGTGTCCATTAATCACTAGTTTTACTGAATTTTAATATCAGCACACCCCTAAAATAATTAAATTAATGATGCTAATCACACTAAACAATAGAGTTATAGAAGTCTACAGTTGACAAGCTACACAGCCATTTAAAATCATTTGATGCACTAATTATTGCCGCATTAAAACATAACAACGTGCACGTCCGTGTTAATGCATTATAATAGCACTGAAGCATGTTGTGATCTCTGCAGGTGAAGATCTATAACCTCTCTCAGTTTGAGCACGGCGCCGATGACGTCATGATCCTGGCTACAGATGGACTCTGGGACGTGCTGTCCAATCAGGAAGTGGCAGAGGCGGTATCTGGTTTCCTTGGAAACTGTGACCCTGATGACCAGCACAGGCAGGTTCCTCAGCGTTGGCTGAGCATCAACCATCTACTCGTGCAACCCTGCACACCGTGATGGGTTATTTTGGGCAGCGTACAAGAGAATGTGATTTTGCTTAAAGTGGTTTTCTAAGCGAAGAACCACTTTTGGTTCCTCAAAGAATTTTCCATTCACTCTTAAAAATAAAGGTGCTTCAAAAGGTTCTTCAAGTGATGCCATAGAACCATTTTTGGTTCCTCAAAGAATTTTCCATTCACTCTTAAAAATAAAGGTGCTTCAAAAGGTTCTTCAAGTGATGCCATAGAACCATTTTTGGTTCCACAAAGAATTTTCCATTCACTCTTCAAAATAAAGGTGCTTCAAAAGGTTCTTCAAGCGATGCCATAGAAGAACCATTTTTGGTTCCACAAAGAACCATTCAGTCAAAGTCTCTCTCTTACCTTTTTATAATCCGAAGAACCTTCTTTCGCCACAAAGAAGCTTTTGTGAAACAGAAAGGTTCTCCAGATGTTAAAGGTTCTTTATGGAACCATTTAGACCAAACGGTTCTTCTGTGGCATCGTGACGCACCTTTATTTTTAAGAGTGTTGATCAGTTCTTAAAAGAACCATTTGTTTCTTAGTGCGAAGAACACTTGAATAATCTAACCTCTATGAACAACCTTTCCACGACTGTTAAAAGTGCATCATGGAACCATCAGTTCCAATAAAGAACCTTGATTTTTGGTTTATGAAAGGCTGTAGGTTCAAGAACCATCACCACTGATCAAGACACTTCATGATATTCTACTTCTTCTTCCAAAACTGGCTGAACATTGTCGTCTTCTGACGTTTTGCAAAACATAAAGTCATAGGGGGTTTGGAACAACCCTGTTCTAGATCTTCAAGTTCGGGTGAACTCTTCCTTTAACCTCAGGTTACTCTTGGAGGGATGAATCTGTTGTTTGAACTCTCTATAAAAGTATCCGCTGAATAGCATCTCGGTTGTTTTTCAGGTACACAATGGCAGCTCAAGACCTGGTGATGAAGGCCAGAGGTGTCTTGAGGGACCGAGGCTGGAGAATCGCCGGAGACCGGCTCGGCTCTGGAGATGACATCTCGGTCTTCATAATTCCCCTAATGCACGGCATAAAACAGCCTCCACCAAGCTGACCAATCAGAACGCAGGGCACCAACCGAATCGGCCCGAATCCGTTCCTGACCCAACATTCAGATGCTCAGACAACGTCCTGCTGGAGTTTATGGATCCCGCTGTGCGTTTGAACTCATTTACAATACGAACACTTGCTTTTAAGAGTTAGAAGTCGACAAATGCTGACTTTGAAGACCCACGTCAACGTTCCCTACCTCCGCGTGGGTTGGTGGTATATAAATTATAACTTTGCACAATGACTAAAGTTGGGTCCGGTTCTTTGGAGTTCTCCGTGGACAGATGCGCAGCATCCGCAGTTTGTTTATCCGCACACATCTGGCAGCTAGGCGGAACCAACCATGTTTGGCTTTTCCTTTCAGGATATTAATTTATCCTCTGAATGTTTAGTTTGCGGTTTTCTTTTTTGCATTCCCTGAGAAAAATAATCAAAGCAATTCTGGCTGTTACTTGTGCATCCTGTTTTCAAAAGACTGCAAGTTACTGTAAACGATAAGGTATTTGTTTCCCCTGTGCTCTGTACATTTGCAATAGGTACTAAGCTAAATAATGCCGATCTGATCACGGTAAGATTTTTGGGATGATGCATTTTTAAGGAACAATAAATCTCGTATCCGATAAATAAGTCTCGTGTACGCCGACCATTCCCATTAACACCTAGCTGCAATCTGTTCTCCGGAGCTTCTGAGGTTCGGTGAGCTCTGACTTATACATCATGTTCACAGTGGCACCTTCCTCTTCTACAGCACAAACCCGCTGTGAGCATTTGGAAAGGCTTTCACACACACACGCACTGATACACACACACACTCACACACGCACTGATACACACACACACTCACACACGCACTGATACACACACACACTCACACACGCACTGATACACACACACACTCACACACGCACTGATACACACACACACTCACACACGCACTGATACACACACACACTCACACACGCACTGATACACACACACACTCACACACGCACTGATACACACACACACTCACACACGCACTGATACACACACACACTCACACACGCACTGATACACACACACACTCACACACGCACTGATACACACACACAGGGTGAACTATCCCTTTAACCTCTAAATAGCATCTCTGTTGTTTTTCAGGTACACAATGGCAGCCCAAGACCTGGTGATGAAGGCCAGAGGGGGCTTGAGGGACCGAGGCTGGAGAATCGCCGGAGACCGGCTCGGCTCTGGAGATGACATCTCGGTCTTCATAATTCCCCTAATGCACGGCATAAAACAGCCTCCACGAAGCTGACCAATCAGAACGCAGGGCACCAACCGAATCGGCCCGAATCCGTTCCTGACCCAACATTCAGATGCTCAGACAACGTCCTGCTGGAGTTTATGGATCCCGCTGTGCGTTTGAACTCATTTACAATACGAACACTTGCTTTTAAGAGTTAGAAGTCGACAAATGCTGACTTTGAAGACCCACGTCAACGTTCCCTACCTCCGCGTGGGTTGGTGGTATATAAATTATAACTTTGCACAATGACTAAAGTTGGGTCCGGTTCTTTGGAGTTCTCCGTGGACAGATGCGCAGCATCCGCAGTTTGTTTATCCGCACACATCTGGCAGCTAGGCGGAACCAACCATGTTTGGCTTTTCCTTTCAGGATATTAATTTATCCTCTGAATGTTTAGTTTGCGGTTTTCTTTTTTGCATTCCCTGAGAAAAATAATCAAAGCAATTCTGGCTGTTACTTGTGCATCCTGTTTTCAAAAGACTGCAAGTTACTGTAAACGATAAGGTATTTGTTTCCCCTGTGCTCTGTACATTTGCAATAGGTACTAAGCTAAATAATGCCGATCTGATCACGGTAAGATTTTTGGGATGATGCATTTTTAAGGAACAATAAATCTCGTATCCGATAAATAAGTCTCGTGTACGCCGACCATTCCCATTAACACCTAGCTGCAATCTGTTCTCCGGAGCTTCTGAGGTTCGGTGAGCCTTTAAAGAACCATCTCTCTCTTACCTTTTTATAATCCGAAGAACCTTCTTTCGCCACAAAGAAGCTTTTGTGAAACAGAAAGGTTCTCCAGATGTTAAAGGTTCTTTATGGAACCATTTAGACCAAACGGTTCTTCTGTGGCATCGTGACGCACCTTTATTTTTAAGAGTGTTGATCAGTTCTTAAAAGAACCATTTGTTTCTTAGTGCGAAGAACACTTGAATAATCTAACCTCTATGAACAACCTTTCCACGACTGTTAAAAGTGCATCATGGAACCATCAGTTCCAATAAAGAACCTTGATTTTTGGTTTATGAAAGGCTGTAGGTTCAAGAACCATCACCACTGATCAAGACACTTCATGATATTCTACTTCTTCTTCCAAAACTGGCTGAACATTGTCGTCTTCTGACGTTTTGCAAAACATAAAGTCATAGGGGGTTTGGAACAACCCTGTTCTAGATCTTCAAGTTCGGGTGAACTCTTCCTTTAACCTCAGGTTACTCTTGGAGGGATGAATCTGTTGTTTGAACTCTCTATAAAAGTATCCGCTGAATAGCATCTCGGTTGTTTTTCAGGTACACAATGGCAGCTCAAGACCTGGTGATGAAGGCCAGAGGTGTCTTGAGGGACCGAGGCTGGAGAATCGCCGGAGACCGGCTCGGCTCTGGAGATGACATCTCGGTCTTCATAATTCCCCTAATGCACGGCATAAAACAGCCTCCACGAAGCTGACCAATCAGAACGCAGGGCACCAACCGAATCGGCCCGAATCCGTTCCTGACCCAACATTCAGATGCTCAGACAACGTCCTGCTGGAGTTTATGGATCCCGCTGTGCGTTTGAACTCATTTACAATACGAACACTTGCTTTTAAGAGTTAGAAGTCGACAAATGCTGACTTTGAAGACCCACGTCAACGTTCCCTACCTCCGCGTGGGTTGGTGGTATATAAATTATAACTTTGCACAATGACTAAAGTTGGGTCCGGTTCTTTGGAGTTCTCCGTGGACAGATGCGCAGCATCCGCAGTTTGTTTATCCGCACACATCTGGCAGCTAGGCGGAACCAACCATGTTTGGCTTTTCCTTTCAGGATATTAATTTATCCTCTGAATGTTTAGTTTGCGGTTTTCTTTTTTGCATTCCCTGAGAAAAATAATCAAAGCAATTCTGGCTGTTACTTGTGCATCCTGTTTTCAAAAGACTGCAAGTTACTGTAAACGATAAGGTATTTGTTTCCCCTGTGCTCTGTACATTTGCAATAGGTACTAAGCTAAATAATGCCGATCTGATCTTCCATTCATCACGGTAAGATTTTTGGGATGATGCATTTTTAAGGAACAATAAATCTCGTATCCGATAAATAAGTCTCGTGTACGCCGACCATTCCCTTTGATTTCAATACACACCGTCGTGAATTAACACCTACCTGCAATCTGTTCTCCGGAGCTTCTGAGGTTCGGTGAGGTCTGACTTATACATCATGTTCACAGTGGCACCTTCCTCTTCTACAGCACAAACCCGCTGTGAGCATTTGGAAAGGCTTTCATACACACACACGCACTGATACACACACACACTCACACACGCACTGATACACACACACACTCATACACGCACTGATACACACACACACACTGATACACACACACACACACACACACACACACACACACACACACACTCATACACGCGCACAGACACTCTCTCACACACTGATACACACACACACACTGATTCACACACACACACACACTCATACACGCGCACACACACACGCGCACACACACTCACACACACACTCATACACGCGCGCACACACACACTCACACACACTGATTCACACACACACACACTCATAACGCGCACACACTCATACACACACTCACACACACACACTCACACACGCGCACACACACTCACACACACGCACACACTGATACACACACACTCATACACGCGCACACACACACACACACTCACTCACTCACACACACACTCACACACGCGCACACACACTCACACACACGCACACACTGATACACACACACTCATACACGCGCACACACACACACACACTCACTCACTCACACACACACTCACACACGCGCACACACACTCACACACACGCACACACTGATACACACACACTCATACACGCGCACACACACACACACACTCACTCACTCACACACACACTCACACACGCGCACACACACTCACACACACGCACACACTGATACACACACACTCATACACGCGCACACACACACACACACTCATAACGCGCACACACTCATACACACACTCACACACACACACTCACACACTGATTCACACACACTCACACACACTGATACACACACACTCATACACGCGCACACACACATACACACTCACTCACACACTAATACACACACACTGATACACACACTCATACACACACACACAGATACACACACACACTCATACACACACACACTCATACACACACACTCA